AAAGGTAGTTTCTAGTAGTGAAATCACAAAAATTTGGTATTTAGCTATAGGGCAGTGTGTTAGAAGGAGTAGTTGGACAGTCCCAGTGACATCTGTTTCTCTCTGATAAACAGAATGTGTAGGCAGGTAGTTGCCTTATGGAATGCTCAATAAATTGCAATTGTGCAGTTAAGTGACTGCATGCCTACTGAGAGAGTATATATATATATATATATATATATATGCCTATGATTACACGTATGCTTATGCAAATAATCTAATCCATTATTGTAATGCACATGCAAATAAATACACCATAACAGTGAAAGTGAATTTGTCACAAAAATGTCCCAATAGCTCATAAAATTAATAGCTAGTATTTACTAGGCATAAAGTACTAATGACTACTGATGTCAGTCAAATTTATAGATTAGAAAGTAAAAGTTCCTTAAAATAGACAGCAAAGTCCTTGCTATATGTAATCATCATTGTTAACTTGATTTGGATCCATTACTGTGCTGTATAAATCAGAGCTATTGTTGCTAGCATACACTGGTACTGTCTTATTAGTACTACATGTAGTGTACGCTGGATTTTTCTGTAGTGTTTCAGTACTTGTAGCATATACTGGATTATTCTGCAGAGTATTAACATTAGCATCATGGTCATCATTGATAGCAGCATGTAAAGATGTGCTCAACACTTCAGGATTATTTTTGATCATTTCTTCACAAGAACTATACAGACCACTGCCACTATAACTCCACCAACTAGAAATGATGCACTTGATTAGTGGTTGGAGTGAGTAGTGTTGCTAAATAAATAATAAGTTAAAAATTAATAATAGTGCATTAGTACAAATCTACTTTGGAAAACATTTTTACACACTTGGCAATTGGGAAAAGGTAGCAATTGCAGTAAGAAAAACAGAAGTGAGAGGCTGAAAATGAAAAATGAAAACTGTTATGAACAAGTGCAGTATTTACTGAAGTGATTGAAAGTGAACTTGTATCACTGCTATCAGTTGTGCTTGATATTATTGTAGCAGTTGGTTGAGTAGATGTATCTGAAGAAACAAAAAATAGTTAAATAGCCTTGGCCTAGGGAAAATAACTTCATGCACTTGACAATTGGGAAAAGGTGATAATTTTAGTAAGGAAAATAGAAGTGAGAGGCTGAAAATGAAAATAAAAACTGTTATGAACAAGTGAAGTACCGTATGGGACATAATGTTCGCAGAACGCAAATTTCGCAAAATTTACTGAAATTCAAATTTGCAGATTTTAATTTTGCAAATTCTACCACGTGTGTCATGCGGGTACCATATTAAATTAAAATTCACGGATTTTATTTTCGCAAATTTACTTTATCCACAAAATCTGCGGAATTTATATCCTGCGAACATTATGCCCTATACGGTAATTACTGTATTTCAAATCCTCCAAAAATAGTCAGAAACAGCAACACTGGAGGAAAAGGAGCAGTTGTTATGGCTTTGTGCTATGTATGAGTAGTAGCTTTGTGAGCTGATGTTATCCAAAAGAATGCAACAAAAAGTCAACTGACAAGTTGAGACACTTATCTGAAGCTGATTGTACATGCATTTATATAAACACTATATAAACTATTATAACTATTATAATAGTACTACAATACAGATGTACAGGAATGAAAGTAATACCGTATAGGGGTTTAATTTTGTTGGTATAAAATTTCACAAATCTTACCTTCTACAATCATTTTTCCTACTGTGCCACACCTTTTTTGTGGATTTTAATTTCACAAATCTAATAAAAATGCAAAATTAGCGAAATTATTTCCAATGAAATATAACCCCTATACGATGGCTTTTGAAAAAAGGAGACTCTATTATATGAATGAAAAAGAGATAAAAACATTTTGAATAATTATGCAATACGAACTCATGAATATGTAGAAGTAGGATGAGTAGCTATGTAAGCAATTTCAGCAAAAAACTTAATTAATGTGATTGTTAACTTGATTTGGATTCATTGTTGTGCTATATGAATTAGAGTTATTGTTACTAGCATCCACTGGTACTGTGTTACTAGTACTAGCATATGCTGGATTATCCTGTAGTGCTAGAGATCCAGTACTTGTAGCATATGCTGGATTATCCTTCAGAGTATTAACATTAGCATCATTGTTATCATTGATAGCAGCATTTAAGGATGTGCTCAGCTCCTCAGGATTACTTTTAGATCTTTTCTTCACACAAACAATAATACATGCTGTTATTAGTAGACATGTACATACAAGAATTATGCAGACCACTCCCACTATAATTCCACCAACTAGAAATGAATCACTTGGTTGAGTGGTTGGAGTGATGAGTAGTGTTGCTAAATAAATGATATATAGTGCAGATATGGTACAGATATGGTAGATTAGAGGAGGAAAATTATTTCACATACTTGACAATGAGGATGATGATAATGAATGAGAGGATGATTGTGAATTGATAGTAGGAGAAACAGAACTCATTTCACACATTAAAAACTCAGGTGTATCTCTGCAACCTGGTGGCTGCTGGTTTAAAGGTGTTGAAAGAGCTTCTACAATAAAAAATACACATCAACTTATCAATGAACAGTATTTTACTCTCTCACTTTGCTTGATTCTAATCTGAA